ATCTCAAATACAGTAACTTCATTGGCTGCTGTGCATGTTGTTGTTGTATTAATGCAGACAAATAGTCTGCACTGACATGGTCAGATTTCACACGGTCCATTTAAAGACTTTTGGCCTCGTCCACCTTCCATACATTCTTACCTTTATAGTAAGAAAACAGTACAGTCAGCAAAATAATATGAGTATGGGCAATGCTAGAGCCTTTTACGTAAGCAGGACGCGTGCTGCGTTCATCCAATCAATGACACTGACACTGCAAATATGCAAATAAGAACATTAACCAGGGTTTAGGAATGTACAGTGTGAAATTTCAGATTATAAATACCCAAGACTAATTGTAAACCCTATAAAGTATGAATAGTGTGAAATGTGAAACAAAATAACCCAGGAGTGTGTTTCATCCAGGGTTTAGAATGAAACCCAGGGTGAACTATTTCAAGTGTGAAAAGACTTTTTGTGTGTCGGATCCTTCCTTCAATACAAATGTAGGATTTTCTAGCTTTTTTTATTATCTGCGGAGTAAAAATCATGCTAGAGCATTTTTCCTCAACAAGCCACACAATTTGAGGTACCATTCAGTATAGCTTAAGAACTTAAATATTTAAGTTCATCAGTTTAAAACATAGCCTAAAAATAGTTAGGCTATGATTGCCTTAGCAAGTTTTATTCATACATGCGCCCTGAGAAGCTAAGATTGAAATAAGAAATCTAATAATACAAAACCCTCAACTTCCTGTTTCACCCTTTCAGCAGTGACACAGGACTGTTACTCACCAATTCACGTTTTGTAACATGAACCTGTAAACAATGGTTTAGGTATGCTCTGCCCAACGTGCTTCACAAAAGAGTGAATGCACTAGACTTAATACTTCTATAAGTAGGTCAGTGAGACTATGAGCAGTTTCACCGTTCCTTTCAAGTGTTGTGCATAATAATCAGATTATGATGAGTCAAGAGGCAGAAGAGGGTGTTTTTTTTGGTAGGCTGTAGTCAAGAAGATGAATGCAGCAGCCATTGTTTCCAGCAGTAGGACCCACACTTGTTAATTTGATCATTTATAGTATAATTGGTGCACCAAACTGAGTCACTTTGCAAGTGAGATTGGTTTGGTGAGGCAGCGGATGGCCTAACGAAGCCGAGTGTGAATACAGAAGCACTCAGAAGTGAGTTTCACACTCTGGTCAAGGCCATGGGTTACTCTGAGCTGAGACTATTTATAGTCTTCCAGTGAAGACAAAGCTTTTCAAGTTGATAACTTCATGTACATGTATAGCACAAGTCAAAGGTTTAAACACACTGGTTCGTTCTTTCTCATTCTTTTGTTACTGCTTTCCACATCTTAGAATAACCTCTGAAATAACACAAACAGAATTATGTGAATTTTGTAGTAAACAAAATGTCTTGTAAAAATGTAAATATATGTGACTCTGGTCAAGGCCATGGGTTACTCTGAGCTGAGACTATTTATAGTCTTCCAGTGAAGACAAAGCTTTTCAAGTTGATAACTTCATGTACAGCACAAGTCAAAGGTTTAAACACACTGGTTCGTTCTTTCTCATTCTTTTGTTACTGCTTTCCACATCTAAGAATAACCTCTGAAATAACACAAACAGAATTATGTGAATTTTGTAGTAAACAAAATGTCTTGTAAAAATGTAAATATATGTGTATATATATATATATATATAAGAAGCTAAATGTTTCATTAAAATGTATTAAGTAAAAGGTAAATGTAATGCAAAACATTAGCAATAATATGACTCTAAACAGTGATTACTTGAATGATTTCACAAAAGCATCATAAACTGTACATTAATATGGTAATATGCTATTATAGGCCAGGCGACAAATTCAACACTCCGTATATGAACCAGTCTCTCAGTCCACCAAAGGGTTAAAGACCCCTGCTTTAGATTAAAAGTACAGTACTTATTAATATTTTGAATTAACTCAATCAGAATGATTTTAAAATTTTAACGTACGATTAAACGCTGATTGAGAGGTCCAAAATGTTGACTACCTCACCGCATAAATTTGAGAACATTTATATAATTATTTAATCAATCAAGCTGAATTAGAGCTGAAGAGGGTAAATATATAAAAATGAGGAAAAATTCAGCTAGTGCTATATTTATTGCTTGGTATGAACACTGCTGAGATCAAAGTTTTAGTGTGGAGTCCCAGTAAGAGGAGAGTGACAGTGCAGCAGTGAAGAATAAAGACATTAGTTCCCCCAAGTGGACATTTTGAAGCACTGACAGTGACAGTTAAACCTGACCTCATTTATCTGCCACGGAAGTCTGTTGGTTTGGTTTCACATTTTACTGCTGAAATAATCTATAATTAAGTCTTTTTTTCTCGTGCATTTTAAAGACCGGCTGTGCATGTTTACTGGTGAACATAAGCAGTTTAAGATGCCTGAATTTACATGCACGTTATGCATGGCCTCTGGAACAAAAGTTGTTTTTTATTTCTTTAAATAAGAGTTGCAAACGCGGCAATGTCTCGTTAACGACAATAAATCCAAAGCTAAATGTCAAAAACTCCAAGAATACCAAAATTATGGCTGCAGCACGTCTGACTCTGGCTCTCATACCGGTTGCAGTGTAATGTTGAGGCGCAAGCGGCAGACAACCGCAGGGTCGACCATGCTCTGTGTTTACAGACTAGAATGCTTTTTACCACTACTAATATTGCTCAGATTTCATCTCTTTGCGAAATGAAGACATATTTGAAAAATGAAGCAAAATGGAGACATTTATCAGACGGGAGAGCCGAACAAAAGACAAAGCCCATGAAGCAACAGGGACAACACTTTAAACTTAATACAAAATAAGTTTGTATTATATATTGATAATTGTTACGGACAATATGGCTGATATTAAAAGTCTAAAATCATTGTCTAAAAAGTTAAAGAAATAAAACAAAAAATGAATTTTACTCTTTAGAAATGAATGACTTTATAATAAATCATTTGAAAAGCTACAAGTAAATGTAGGCATCACACTGTAATGCACAGCACAAAAAAAATTAAAATTAGCTAAAGATGACATCCTAACAGTATTATTAAATTACGATGAAGGTAATCTAAAATGTAAAAATAGAGGAAATAAGTATTCATATTTAAATACACGTCAATCAGTGAGTGTATATATATACACACACACACACATATATACACACACTCTATTAAAAAAAGGGAACAAGTCAAATATTATATTCAGTTCTTGTTTAATTTCATCTCCTGACATTACTCCTCAAAATAAAACATATGGCTGATATTAAAAGTCTAAAATCATTGTCTAAAAAGTTAAAGAAATAAAACAAAAAATGAATTTTACTCTTTAGAAATGAATGACTTTATAATAAATCATTTGAAAAGCTACAAGTAAATGTAGGCATCACACTGTAATGCACAGCATAAAAAAAAATTAAAATTAGCTAAAGATGACATCCTAACAGTATTATTAAATTACGATGAAGGTAATCTAAAATGTAAAAATAGAGGAAATAAGTATTCATATTTAAATACACGTCAATCAGTGTGTGTGTGTATATATACACACACACATATATACACACACTATTAAAAAAAGGGAACAAGTCAAATATTATATTCAGTTCTTGTTTAATTTCATCTCCTGACATTACTCCTCAAAATAAAATGAAACGCTTTTAATATTATTCAAACAACTATGAAACATACAAGCCCTCACAGTGTTGTCAGGTCTAATCAAACAAAAACAGATATGTCAACCCAATTAACCCTTTAAGGCATAGAAAGTAATACAACATCTTCTAATAGTCTTTATGAGCCATGTCTAAACAACTCTGGGAACGACAGCATCTCAGTTATACTGTTAGATGTTTTTTCCTGACGGAAACGATCAAAGGGAACAATTGAAAAAGATGCATCCATAGCACTCCCACAGTGGGGCAAAGAATAACAGCTCACAGCCGAAGTTGCCATCTAGAATTGCTTTCACAATGAAATAGATCTATAAAACCATGCATGCCTGTACAGTGTGCCTGAAAGAGAACAATTGCAACCATAACTATTTATAAAAAGAAAAACATTGAATAATTGCAAGTTATAGAAATTAAATTCACAATGAAAGAGAGGCCTAGGCTAGATTTCCCTGCTGACTTTGTTCATATTGACAGCATTTCATAAATGACTAGTTCTTAGTATTATTCGTTAAACCACTGGCTTCAATATACTTTAATATGTACACTTACAATAGAAAGCTACTCAAGCAAGTTACACTGTCAAGTAGGTCAGTATCTGGCAAGGTTAACCGTTCGCTTCGATAGAATTACAGTACTGAATTCAACAGTACAATGTCAAAAGATACAAGGGACAGCGGGGTTTGAGGGGTTCAGCCCCAGTCTGAAATGGGACTAGCACCATCACGGCAGGTTAAGCAGTCAGAAAGGTACAGCGCTCTTAAACGGGGGGGGAAAAAGCATGCAAAAAGGACCTTAATATGACCCAAACAGGTCTTCGATTTGTGCATTTGAAGGTCATTACTTCAATACTGCTTCCATGTATGACAGCCGTCTGCTGGCTTCATTGCGCCATTCTAAGCATCTAACCTTTGAAACAGGAGACCGTTAGTCCAGAATTAAAAAAAAAAAAAATTGCAGGTCCATCTTTTCACATACTCAAGTTCGTCTTAGTGCTTTTCTCCCTTTCAATAAAAACATTTATTTGCCCAACAGAGTAAAAGGAGATTTAAAACAAACTCAATTCAAAAGTCCAGAAGCCTCAAACTATTTCAATTCTCGTCTGTTAGTAGAGACATCAGAGATACAGGAGCTGCTTAGTGAAAAATAAAAACATCTCGCTGTTTAAGACTGCACATTTAATTCCTAGCTGAACAGCAGATAATGGTAAAACACTTCGCTGGTTATGAATAGAAATACAACAGATAGGAACAACCTGCAAACAGAACCTTGCATGAAGACAGTGAACCTAAAAAAGGCATAACAAATACACAAACAGTATTAAAAGAAAACAAAAACTAAAGTTTAAACCTAAATGGTGAAGTCAATTTATACAAAAGCGGTGCTGGTCCTGACACGCGGCCTCCTCGCCCTCTGTCAGCTAGGAGCGAATCTCCTCAGCGGGATTTCTGCCCTGGTCCTGACCGATGGGAAAAGGTCAAACCACAAATCAGCTGTTAATAATCTCTATAAACATGTATATTGCCAATCCTTTCTTTCATACTTTTAAAAAGGTAAAAACAAATGGATTAGTCCAGGGATCTCCTACCCAGTGTTGCCAACTGCTTTCAATTGAAAGTAGCTAAAACTGGTAGCTAAATGTCACTAGATGATATCACAATGGCAAATTCACTGATCTATATAAAGATGAACGTAGATCAGTGGGCAAGATGAGAACTTGGATAAGGTTTGTCCAAGAAGTTGCTATATTTGTCCCTAAACTTTTGAAAAAAGTATCAAAAGGGGCGGGGAAGTCGCTAAATCTAGCTACAAAGTAGCTAAATTGGCAACACTGCTCCTACCCTGCTTCTGGAGAGCTACTATCCTGCATACTTCAGTTCCAACACACCTGTCTGTAATTATCAAGTAGCTCTGATCACCTTGATTAGCTGGTTCAGGTGTTTAATTGTGGTTGGAGCTGAAATCTGCAGGACAGTTGCTCTCCAGGAGATCCCTGGATTAGTAATTTCTTCTATATGGCTGTGTTTACACTGCAAGTCTTAATGCACTGATCCGATCTTTTGACTATATTAGATTTTTTTGTCCCACCCCAAATGATTGTCAGTGATCGCTTTACTATGCACATGGTAGATCCATGGTTTTTGAATGGCTGGGCTATTAAAATTATGTATATAATTCAAGTGGTTGAGTGACCATAATTATTTGCCAACATGGACAACAGCTGTCATGGATGTTTTGCAGCACAAAATCTGACTGAACTGATAAAGACCAGAAAATAATGGCAATTTTAATTTGTTATTTTATCTACAGCTTGTTAGAGGTAGAATTCTGAAGTGAAATAAAGTAGCGCTCTAAGATTATATTTATTTGAATTAATTAATGAGAGAGAGAGAGAGAGAGAGAGAGAAAGTGTGCTCGTTCAAAACAGTTGCGTTTAATCCTTTGCTGGCTGTGCCGATTTAAATTAGCGGTTCTGTTGTTTTCAGTTCAGTGACACAGGTAGTGACGATTCTGTCCGGCCAATCAGTGATCAGCAGAGTTTACACATCACATTTTGGTAACGGTATGGTTCACTTAGAACCTCAACCGAGGTATTACTAAAAAAAAAGTACCAGGTACTCTACCCAGTGGAAAACCCCCCAAAAGTGAACCATACCGAGCCGTACCTTGCAGTGGAAAAGCACCATAAATGAATGTAACATGGCAAAGATGAATGCACTTCTGGAAGTTGAATGTAAGGGAAATGTCATTTTGGAATTTCTGTGGTTTAATGTCATATTGTTGTTCATGATTGTTGTTCGTAATTATAGCATTAACAAGATGACCCGTTGAATTCATTTTGGGAGCGACGACTGATTGAATGTATTTTTAGTCCAGTGCCTGTATATAAGATTAGTATTTACCAAGTTCAGAGGCTGTCATATGTGGATCAACTTACTATGTTGTGTATTTTCAACAGTTTCAATATGAGAACTTTTATATTGATTCAATGGATTTATTGCATTTTGGGGAAAAAATAGCATTTTATAAAATCAAAATCTGGATTTGAATTTTTTATGTTATTATAACCTAAAGATGCTATGTGAAAGTTTGAAACAGAAAATAGTGGTTTTCATCTTGCCACTTTCTTGGTAAAGAAAACACATTTTTATTCAAATTAATCAAAATGGATTTATAGCATTTTGGAACCAAACTCTTCATATTCTGTGGAAGGCGTAGGACCAAGAAATATTCATCCAATCAAAACTCTCGGTCCGAGCGGTTTAATTGGCTTTCCTACCTGCCAGTCAATGTATGTATTAGCATACCTCTGCGCACCCGGTTCGTGCAGACAGGATACGTCATCAGCGCGTTCACGCACGCTGTGCAGACAGAGTGAGAATGGCAGACAAACATCAACAACCTGATCTTCCTTCCTGGTATTGTAGTACTTTAAAAATTTTTGTCACTGGTGAATGACACATGATGTAGCCCAGCGGTTTCCAATTCCAGTCCTTGCCCCCCCCCACTCTGCATATTTTGCATGTTTCGCTTAGTTAACACACCCGATTCAGATCGATACGATCCCTACACAGTGTTCATTGCTCCCTACTGCTTGAGCAGGGGAAATCCGTTGAAGTTTACTTCCCTTCGGAACATGGACTGGAATTGGGAACTGCTGATGTAGCATTTTCCAAGATCTCCTACTGCACCTTTAAATGCCTGATCTCTTAATATGTGAATTGGTCATTAAAAAAAAAAAAGTATATTCTCTTGAAAAGCAATATATATGTAAATTGTATTTATTAAACTATTGGCTGATACAAAATGCTCTTAAGTATTCTGTTATGGTCAATAACTGATAAAATGATCATTAATACAATTCTGTACTATTTTACCTAAAATATATATTAATTTAAGTGCAACAAGTGAATTTAAACATCACAACATTATAATGCACAGTATGAAAATATATATTTATTTTGAGATTTGTTAAATATTACTTTAACAGTGTTAAACTTAGTATTTAATGGGATAGTTTACCCAAAAATGAAAATTTAATGTTTATCTGCTTACCCCTAGGGCATCCAAGATGTAGGTGGCTTTGTTTCTTCAGTAGAACACAAACGAAGATTTTTAACAAACCGTTGCAGTCTGTCAGTCTTATAATGGAGGTGAATAGGAATCACGGCTTTGAGAGTAAAAAAAACACAAACAAAACCAAATTAAACCCTGCGGCTCGTGACGATACATTGACGTGTAAAGACACAAAACGATCGGTCTGTGCAAGAAACTGAACAGTATTTATATCATTTTTTACCTCTGATTCACACAATGTTCGAACCGTTCAAACTATCCTGAGTGGCGGCGCCTCCTCCCGAGTGCGTTCTCAACAGCAGGCATGTGAGGCGTTTTCTTCACGCCGGATCGCAGACTTATAAGTGCTTTACCACCACCTATCTCAAATGGACCATTGACACTCCATCCACAATCTTAATTAGGAGTGTCAATGGTCCACTTGAGAGATAGGTGGCGGTAAAGCACTTATAAGTCTGCGATCCGATAGTTTGAACGTGAATCAGAGGTAAAAAACTATATAAATACTGTTCAGTTTCTTGTACAGACCGATCGTTTTGTGTCTTTACACATCAATGTATTGTCACAAGCCGCAGGGTTTAATTTGGTTTTGTTTGTGTATGTTTTTTTTTTTTACTCTCAAAGCCGTGATTCCCATTCACCTCCATTATAAGACTGACAGACTGCAACTGTTTGTTAAAAATCTTCTTTTGTGTTCTACTGAAGAAACAAAGTCACCTACATCTTGGATGCCCTGGGGGTAAGCAGATAAACATCACATTTTCATTTCAACTATCCGTTTAAGATTAACTTTACTGTTTTTATGTTGAGATTTCCTTTGCAATCATCCAACAATCCCTTAAATGAACATGCATAATTAAATATCCAATATTAAACTCTAATATCAGCAGGTAACCAATATGGTACTGATATTCTGTGAATCCCCACTTTTCAAAAAACCTGACTGATCTCTACTGGCTGAATGTAATGATGTAATGTTGAATGTGCTGTTACCTCAGGAGGGGGAGGTCTGACTGTAACGGGATGAGAGGAACGTCGGGGCGGGGAGCGTTTGGGCTGAGCTTGCTGCTGTACCGTGTCGTAGTACGTCACACCACCGTAGACCTGTGCCTGTGCCTGGAGAGAGATGCACAGAAGGAAGTCAAGCATGTACAGACGCTCAAAAAACCCTGTGATACTCACTACTGTACTACTGAAGTGCGTCACAGGATACAGATAACACTTATTTAGAGTCAAACAGGCTCACTTGGGGATTGGGGTACATTGGAGGTAGCGTAGCTCCGGCAGGGTACGGATAGTTGGTGTTCCCAAAGGTCATGACACCTGGCGGGGGGTAGAAGGGTGGGGGTAGCAGCTGCTGTGGAGGCGGTTGCCCAGGTGACATAGAAACAGGTGGGGCGGCGTAAAGAGCCGGATTGGGCAAGGGCCCTCCTGACTGGTGCGGGTGTAAACCTGAAACAAAACGCAGCAAAATATTTAACAGGTTAATGTTGATGTGACATCTGGAATGATTAAAATCACAAGAAAACGTAAAGCTGCAGTCCGTAAGATTTGCCTCTCTGTCGCCATCTCTGTTTGAAAACCTGAAATTGCAGCTGTGTGTGGAATTATCTAGCTTGCGTGGGTTGTGAGTGGGCTCGGCTCCAGCGCGGATGAATCTAATGTTTTGAGGAGTATGTTTGGCAGTCAGTCACCGCACCGGTGTGGATATTTACTGTACTTCGCAATCACAGATTCTAGCCTACGTCTTGGAATATGACCCAAATAAAAATTTTCACTGGATATTGTCATCTAGTGATGCACGGATGGCGGTTATATCCGCGGGCGCTGCAGATAATCCTCGGATCGGGTGGGTCGGGTAATAAAAAAATGCATTCTGATTATTTGTGGGTGGGTGGGAGGATAAAATAAATTAATGATGCAAGTATTAACTACATTTTCTAAATTATGAACGTGTTTTAAAAAGGCTACAGAAATTGAATAAACTGTAAATTAACATTAAAAGTTATTCAACAAAACATTATTTAGTCAAGAGCAGTAAGGGATTTTCTGTCTTTTGTTGTTTGATTAACATTAATAAAAGACGGCACAGCTTTATTAGGCTGCTGTCACAAGACTTATTTCACGGATCCAATACTGATACTCATGCATTTTATTTTGCAACTGTTTACATTAACTTAAGACAAAACCGACAGTACTTTCTCAATTTGGTACTCGCAGTACGCGCTTTGGATGTGACTGAGCGCACGCGCCTCTGGAGAGCGCGAGTACCGAATGGCTTAAAAAGACGTGAAAATAATACATTTTTGTGACGATGCAACAATGACCAATTAGTGACAATTCTGTCAACTGTCCCGAAACGCGAGCTAAAGTCTTCTATCGCAGAGTGCAGCAGCTCTAGATGCGTCGACATGAAGTGAAAGTTAAAGAGAGAAGACGCGGTACAGCTGAATCACCTACGCTGTTTTCATCTGATGGTTTGTGTGGATTTATTTACTCATCTAACCTACACGCTATATTGAATAAAGGTTTTGCAGTAATTTCCCTCATTTTAAAGTCGAATGCTGCGGGAATGAGTAATGCGATGTATGCGCAATCCCGTAATGAAATTCAGTATCCGATTAAACAATTCTATTATACAGAGACTTGTGAAATTGATTTTCATGACTTTTCAAAAACTTTGAGTTTATTTATTTTTACAAAACTTTCTAGGGCTGGAAATCACTGTTCAATGACTTTTCCAGGTTTTTCCATGACCGTACGAACCCTAATGTGATGATCGGGTGCGCGTGCGGTTATCTAAATCAGACAAAAATACAGGTGCGGGCGGTTGGAGAATTTATTTGAAGCTGCGGATTCGGGTGACGTTTTAGCTCATTCGCGCATCACTATTGTCATCTGAACAAGTAACAAGTCTGCCATGTTTGTTCTGACCAACTGAGGAAAAAAGCATTACCATAAATCTCGCTACCAATGGTGATTAAATCTAAAGATCGGTTATTATTATTGTTATACTTTATTCTCAAATGATTAACAACATCGGCGACTATGAGTAGTGTGTAGATTAATTTCTGCACAGTCTAATCTAATTGTCACACTCTTCGAATTTTATATCAAGAATTTTTTTTAACCCAAAAAGCTAATTATGCCCCCTTCAAACTGGTTTTCTTTAAAATACAAATCTTTGTAATCCCAGGCTATCTGTAATCAGAAGCACATTTATAACTGGAATATAATTTAATTTCAACCACATGTGTTTCATAAACACAATCCTTTCTGGATTACAATCCGCCATCAAAATGATACATTTAATTATTCTGGCTGCTGCGAGAAAAGGCTATAAACGATCCGCCACCTGCAGGATCCTCACATGCGATAGCCTAGTAGCAGGGACAACTTCTTTATGTTTACAGACGTGACGTAATGACGCAGTGCCATGCTCGAATTTACCGCGAAAACCTACCCGTACCACTCAAATTAGAAAACATTATTATAAGCTAACCGTTGTGAATCGGGCTAAAGGCGACAGTTTTGAACACTGCCTGGTTATGTACTTGCTCAAATATTGATTTCGGATCATTTTTAACCCCCCAAAAAAAGTTACGGACTGCAGCTTTAAGTAGCAACAGATCTTTTCTTCTGTATTGCGATGTACATCCGAGAGCAATGGATTAATAAAATAAATAAATTAGGGTGGAAACTTTGTTTTATCCATTGGTTATTAGATGGAGGGAGAAATGAATGCAGGCTTCTAGTCAATTGCAGACAAAAGTCCTGTATTTTTAATACAAATCCGACAGGTTTTTTTTTTTTTTAATGCAACATGGATGGACGAATTGATCCCAATAAAATCAATTGCATGCATTTAGACAATAGATTGGGTTAATTTTTCATGCTGACATGAAGTGGTCTGGATATTGCAGGTATGCTTGCACTTAAAGTAATGGATAGGTAGATTTTTTTTTAATTCAAAGAATTTCTTGTAATTAGCAGTTAAAATAGTGTCAGAAATTCTGATATTAGAATAAAACATTCTTTTGAAACACCACCAATGTCTATGGTAAAATCTAAACTGTAAACGGACCATAAATCTATGATTTAAAAAGCATATATATATATAACAATAATTATTATTATTTAAAATAATCTTATATTAGGTATCATAGTGAGGCAAGATGAAAAGAAAAGACACTTTTCTGAAGACAGTTAGTTCCCTTCAGATATACATTATGACACTGCTCACCCTCAAATAAAAAAATCCTTGGGTTTGCATGTATTTCAAAGTCAGTACAGTGAATTTTGCTAAAAAGCGTTGAGTTTGCAGGTATGCCAATACACAAACAGAAAAGTAAATGAGCAGACATTCTCATCTTGTTTGGATTGGGAAATGGTCTCAGAACAGTTTATTTCTTTTCTCAAATCACTGATTTGCCTACTAATAGTTTAAAGGGGTCATATGATGCGATTTCAATTTTTCCTTTCTCTTTGGAGTGTTACATGCTCTTGGTGCATAAAGAAGATCTCTAAAGTTGCAAAGACTAAAGTCTCAAATCCAAAGAGATATTCTTTATAAAAGTTAAGAGTCAACCACGCCTACTTAAAACGTCTCTTTCTAACACGCCCCCACATATCTACATCACGATGTGGGAAGATTTGCATAACGCCGCCCAAATGTTCACGCAAAGAAAGGCGGCGAAACTTTTATTCTCGCTGTAGTATTGTTGCCGCCATGTCATGAAGGCGCTTGTGTGTTTCATTGTGAAAGCAAAACTACTTTGTTTGGCCTTCCAAAAGAGGACGATATCGCTTCGTCGTTCCTGGAGCTGATCCATGCTGGTCGCTGAGGAAATACTTCAACTTCGCGCTGTGGATCGCCGGATCGCGCTTTCACCGTGGACGAAGCGGAGTCCAGCCCGGGGTCGTCACATGTGGTTGCCGCAGGCATCACAATATGGTAAGGGACGTAACATTTCCGTTACTAGCTTGAGGTATTCAGCCAATCACAACGGTTTACATTAACTTAAGACAAAACCGACAGTACTTTCTCAATTTGGTACTCGCAGTACGCGCTTTGGATGTGACTGAGCGCACGCGCCTCTGGAGAGCGCGAGTACCGAATGGCTTAAAAAGACGTGAAAATAATACATTTTTGTGACGATGCAACAATGACCAATTAGTGACAATTCTGTCAACTGTCCCGAAACGCGAGCTAAAGTCTTCTATCGCAGAGTGCAGCAGCTCTAGATGCGTCGACATGAAGTGAAAGTTAAAGAGAGAAGACGCGGTACAGCTGAATCACCTACGCTGTTTTCATCTGATGGTTTGTGTGGATTTATTTACTCATCTAACCTACACGCTATATTGAATAAAGGTTTTGCAGTAATTTCCCTCATTTTAAAGTCGAATGCTGCGGGAATGAGTAATGCGATGTATGCGCAATCCCGTAATAAAATTCAGTATCCGATTAAACAATTCTATTATACAGAGACTTGTGAAATTGATTTTCATGACTTTTCAAAAACTTTGAGTTTATTTATTTTTACAAAACTTTCTAGGGCTGGAAATCACTGTTCAATGACTTTTCCAGGTTTTTCCATGACCGTACGAACCCTAATGTGATGATCGGGTGCGCGTGCGGTTATCTAAATCAGACAAAAATACAGGTGCGGGCGGTTGGAGAATTTATTTGAAGCTGCGGATTCGGGTGACGTTTTAGCTCATTCGCGCATCACTATTGTCATCTGAACAAGTAACAAGTCTGCCATGTTTGTTCTGACCAACTGAGGAAAAAAGCATTACCATAAATCTCGCTACCAATGGTGATTAAATCTAAAGATCGGTTATTATTATTGTTATACTTTATTCTCAAATGATTAACAACATCGGCGACTATGAGTAGTGTGTAGATTAATTTCTGCACAGTCTAATCTAATTGTCACACTCTTCGAATTTTATATCAAGAATTTTTTTTAACCCAAAAAGCTAATTATGCCCCCTTCAAACTGGTTTTCTTTAAAATACAAATCTTTGTAATCCCAGGCTATCTGTAATCAGAAGCACATTTATAACTGGAATATAATTTAATTTCAACCACATGTGTTTCATAAACACAATCCTTTTTTTCACCGTATATTGCCATCTGAACAAGTAACAAGTCTGCCATGTTTGTTCTGACCAACTGAGGAAAAAAGCATTACCATAAATCTCGCTACCAATGGTGATTAAATCTAAAGATCGGTTATTATTATTGTTATACTTTATTCTCAAATGATTAACAACATCGGCGACTGAGTAGTGTGTAGATTTCAATTTCTGCACAGTCTAATCTAACTGTCACACTCTTCGAATTTTATATCAAGAATTTTTTTTAACCCAAAAAGCAAATTATGACCCCTTCAAACTGGTTTTCTTTAAAATACAAATCTTTGTAATCCCAGGCTATCTGTAATCAGAAGCACATTTATAACTGGAATATAATTTAATTTCAACCACATGTGTTTCATAAACACAATCCTTTCTGGATTACAATCCGCCATCAAAATGATACATTTAATTATTCTGGCTGCTGCGAGAAAAGGCTATAAACGATCCGCCACCTGCAGGATCCTCACATGCGATAGCCTAGTAGCAGGGACAACTTCTTTATGTTTACAGACGTGACGTAATGACGCAGTGCCATGCTCGAATTTACCGCGAAAACCTACCCGTACCACTCAAATTAGAAAACATTATTATAAGCTAACCGTTGTGAATCGGGCTAAAGTAAGGCGACAGTTTTGAACACTGACTGGTTATGTACTTGCTCAAATATTGATTTCGGATCATTTTTAACCCCCCAAAAAAAGTTACGGACTGCAGCTTTAAGTAGCAACAGATCTTTTCTTCTGTATTGCGATGTACATCCGAGAGCAATGGATTAATAAAATAAATAAATTAGGGTGGAAACTTTGTTTTATCCATTGGTTATTAGATGGAGGGAGAAATGAATGCAGGCTTCTAGTCAATTGCAGACAAAAGTCCTGTATTTTTAATACAAATCCGACAGGTTTTTTTTTTTTTTAATGCAACATGGATGGACGAATTGATCCCAATAAAATCAATTGCATGCATTTAGACAATAGATTGGGTTAATTTTTCATGCTGACATGAAGTGGTCTGGATATTGCAGGTATGCTTGCACTTAAAGTAATGGATAGGTAGATTTTTTTTTAATTCAAAGAATTTCTTGTAATTAGCAGTTAAAATAGTGTCAGAAATTCTGATATTAGAATAAAACATTCTTTTGAAACACCACCAATGTCTATGGTAAAATCTAAACTGTAAACGGACCATAAATCTATGATTTAAAAAGCATATATATAACAATAATTATTATTATTTAAAATAATCTTATATTAGGTATCATAGTGAGGCAAGATGAAAAGAAAAGACACTTTTCTGAAGACAGTTAGTTCCCTTCAGATATACATTATGACACTGCTCACCCTCAAATAAAAAAATCCTTGGGTTTGCATGTATTTCAAAGTCAGTACAGTGAATTTTGCTAAAAAGCGTTGAGTTTGCAGGTATGCCAATACACAAACAGAAAAGTAAATGAGCAGACATTCTCATCTTGTTTGGATTGGGAAATGGTCTCAGAACAGTTTATTTCTTTTCTCAAATCACTGATTTGCCTACTAATAGTTTAAAGGGGTCATATGATGCGATTTCAATTTTTCCTTTCTCTTTGGAGTGTTACATGCTCTTGGTGCATAAAGAAGATCTCTAAAGTTGCAAAGACTAAAGTCTCAAATCCAAAGAGATATTCTTTATAAAAGTTAAGAGTCAACCACGCCTACTTAAAACGTCTCTTTCTAACACGCCCCCACATATCTACATCACGATGTGGGAAGATTTGCATAACGCCGCCCAAATGTTCACGCAAAGAAAGGCGGCGAAACTTTTATTCTCGCTGTAGTATTGTTGCCGCCATGTCATGAAGGCGCTTGTGTGTTTCATTGTGAAAGCAAAACTACTTTGTTTGGCCTTCCAAAAGAGGACGATATCGCTTCGTCGTTCCTGGAGCTGATCCATGCTGGTCGCTGAGGAAATACTTCAACTTCGCGCTGTGGATCGCCGGATCGCGCTTTCACCGTGGACGAAGCGGAGTCCAGCCCGGGGTCGTCACGTGGTTGCCGCAGGCATCACAATATGGTAAGGGACGTAACATTTCCGTTACTAGCTTGAGGTATTCAGCCAATCACAACGCACTGGATAGCTGGCCAATCAGCTCGCATTTTCAGACCGATGAGCTTTGTAAAAATTGACTCGTTTCAGAAAGGCGGGGCATAGAGAAACAATAATGTACAGTATGTGGAAAAAAAATTATTTTTTTAACCTTAACCCGCATAAGTGAAGTGAAGTGACATGTGGCCAAGTATGGTGACCCATACTCGGAATTAGTGCTCTGCATTTATCCCATCCAAAGTGCACACACACACACACACACCGTGAACACACACCCGGAGCAGTGGGCAGCCATTTTTTGCTGCAGCGCCCGGGGAACAGTTGGGGGTTCGGTGCCTTGCTCAAGGGCACCTCAGTCGTGGTATTGAAGGTGGGAGAGAGCGCTGTACATTCACTCCCCCCACCTACAATCCCTACCTTTGGGTTACGAGTCTGACTCTCTAACCAATAGGCCACGACTTCCCCATAAACACATTTCATTATGTATCAGCAGCATCATATGACCCCTTTAAAGTGAGTTAACGTGAACCACATTCTGTTCACCTTCACCTGTTAGCTTAGCTTCCCCCGCATCGCCATCCCTTTCAAGCGAAGAACTTAATTATACTTTGAGTCCCTTATGTTTGATTACTAAACATTTTTGCACCCCCATATCATTTTTAAACAGTTTATTATTTGAATTTTAGAGGGGAAAAAATCAGACAGACTATCGGGAGCTACGATTATGTGGCCATTAACTCCCCCTCTTCAACCAGAAGTCCGCAAACGTTCACAACTCTCACCTGGGTGTCCGGGATGGGTGGGGTGTGGCAGGTGCATCTCAGGCTGAACAAGCATGCCTTGAGGGGGCAGGGCCGCTGGACTGTCGCCGTGTGTGTAGATTGGTCCCTGGAAAGACACTGCATTTGGAAATGCAAGTTATTATCTTGGATGTTCGGCCACAAAAATAAAAATTACGTTACCTAAATTAACAGCTCTTGAGTTTTCAAATGAAGGACCAACTAAAAGTTTAACTATTCAGTAGTTGATTTTAGGACACATTCCCATGACCCATTTAACTTAAAAGAAGCAGAAGCAGTACTGCACTCACTGGGTTCATAAAAATGGCCCTCCATGACTCCTATGTGCATGGGTGCAGGCTCGGGAACTGGCCTCTGGCGCTGTGATGAATACCGCTTAGCCCGGCCACCACCAACACCCTGATAACAAAAAATAACAGCTGAAACACAAGGTTGTCGCTTACAACTTTGGTCAGCAAATTCATACACATTTCTTAAACTGAAAATACTTTTAAGATTAGTGTTAAAGTCATGATGAAACTGTGGTAGCAACAGAACTTTTCATCCACATTGTGATGTACATCTGAGTTTAATGGATTTTCAAAAAAAATTCAGGGCGGCGATGCTTCAGTTGTTGATTAGCTTTTAAAATGTGGGCACTGCACTCTAAATCGGAGGCAGATGAATGTGAGCTTGCAGGGTCAGGTTTAAGCCAGTTAAATGATTAGGAGATCAATTTGTTGTTACATACTGTATTTCCGGAAAATAAGTTGCAAATAAATTGAGGGGGAAAAAAAACGTTGCCGTGTAAGTCACATTTTACTATATTCAGAAATAAATAACGTTTGTAAATAATTTACAAACATTATAAACACTACAAAAATTCTATTCACTTTTATCATTCAGTCTTTGGGATTTTTCTAATCTATATAAGCAATTAATGATGGACTGGTTGACTCACAATATCCTCCATGTTTCCATACTGTGGAGGCCCTCCTGCCATGTGCACTGAGCTACGGATGCCTGTTGGGGACAAAAATGCAGGAAATATAAACCAACCTTTCCCAAAAAAAAAAAAAAAAAGAAAAAAAAAAAAAACCCCCTTTCCCAAAAAAAAAAAAAAAAAAAAAAAAAAAAAAAGAGTTTGTAAAACAAATTAATTACACGAAGATTAAGTATTACCTCTCATCTCAGCCTGCAAGTAGGAGGGAGGGCTTTGGGCCCAGTTCTGTCCAGCCAGGCTGAGTTGGGCCAGGTCCTGGTCGAGCCCTGTCAGTCCACCTTGCGTTCCAGCATCACTCTGCTCTTGCCACGACTCACTCTTTGCTGCCGCCGGGGTTTGCTGGACCGCAGGTGAGGAGTCATCTAACGACGCTTGCTTAGCGAGATCAGACGGTCGTGTTCGCGTCGCCCTCCGTGCAAGAGAGTATGATTTCTTTTCCACCGGCCTCTCTTGAGGAGGAGACGATTCTCGCACCCGACTGGCTGCATTGCCCCCTTCCATCGCTGGGCCAGACTCTTGTTTGCGTGGTGACGGAACCCTCTCTCTCTCTGTCCTGTAGTGGTGAGCGGTATATGTAGTTGTCGCTGTTGGAATCTCACCCTCCTCCTCTTCTTCCTCACTGCGGATGTCCTCCACCACCGTGGCTGGGCTATGGTCAGCGTGAACAGCATGTGAACCACGGCCCCTGAGCCGCAGGCCCCTCTCACCTTCTACAGGCTGTGGCCGCACTCCTCGAGGTGGTGGGCCATCTAGACTGGGCTTCGAGTGTCTCTGCCCTTCTGTCCTGTGGGGGGCTGACAGAGCTCGACTACTTTGGAAGCTGCGATGTGGGGGCTGGGTCGAGGGTCGGCCGGAGGATTTGGGTGCTGCAGGGGGACCAGGAGGTGGGCCTGACTGCAGGATAACAGACTGAGGGGTGTTGCGATGGCCAGGTGGAGGCGCCTGCCATGTTGTACGCACCGACTTCTCACCTTCACGATGGCGCCTAGGCTCCCGAATGGGTGAACCAGCATGTCTGCTAAGAAACGGAGATATTAGTGGGCAACCCATCATGCATTTGGCCAATAAAAACCATCTAGAAAGAAGTATGATCCAAAAAAAATTTAGATACATTGCTGGTCAAACATTTGGGGTCAGTCCATTTTTTTTTTATTGTTTATAAAGTCTTTAATCCTCATTAATATGCTTGATTTGATCAAAAAAAAAAATCAGTAGACAGCATAACATTGTGAAAATAGTACAATATAATTTAATACTGTCATTACACGAGTCTTCAGTGTCACATGATCCTTCAGAAATAATTTTTATATTAGGGCTGCACGATAAATTGAAATGGAATCGAGATCGCGATTCGACAGAAGCTGCGATTGTCATGTGTATCTTTCAGTGAAGCATGGTTCTGTGATCAGCAGTAAAGCTCCATCCAAAGGCCAGAGGGCGCTCTCGCGCTGAAACTCCAAATACGCTTCGCAGAAGAAACCCAGAAAATGGCTATGGCTGCAGCTGAATAAACAGAAGATTCAACTGCTTTCATTGATTCAACGTGACTAATAAACACACGACTACGGCAATATACGGTTTATCCGAGTTCTTATTATTATAATTTTCATTAAAATAAAGTATATTTATAATGCAATGCCTTTATCACTGCTTAAATACTATAAATTCTGTTGCGTGCCTTATTTTGTGTAAGAAGCCACATCATCTCACAGAAGGATTTATTTCAAACACTCGACTGACGTTATGAAGTGAGTTTGGAGTAAAAATATGTTATTAAATGTGGTATTTTCACATGCTTTCAAATGGAGCAGCATTTACTTCACAGAGCCGTAGTTCACTGAGAAGCTATGCAAACAGCTGTCATTATCGCGATTTCAGAATCGTGCAATAAAATAGTCCCAAAAAAATAATAATTTGCATAATTTGTCAGTGAACTACGGCTGTGTGTAGTAAATTCTGCTCCATCTGAAAGCACGTGATGATGATTTCCTGCCGATTACAGAACCGGCTTTAACAAAATGCGCATGACAAATCGCATTCGATTAATCGTGCAGCCCTATTTTATATGCTTACTCAATTTGTACTTAAAACATTTCTTATTATCAGTGTTGAAAACAGTTGTGCTGCTTAATTTTGTGGAAACCATTACAGATTAAAAAATTTGTTCACAAGAATAGTATTCATTTGAAATAGAACTCAAAATCTGTATAAATGTCTTTACCGTTACATCAGTTTAATGCATATTAAATGAAAATAAATGCTTATTGAATAATTAAATCTTTAAGAATATTTCTTACTGACCCCAAACTTTGGAATAGTAGGGTGTATACAATTTATGCATATAAAATGTAATAATAATAATAATAATAAAACATCTCCAATTTAGGTTACATAATACACGTTGTATATACTTTATATAGTTTCCTATGTTTAATCAAATTTAACTTAATGACTACAGAAACTGAAATGGTTTTATTTATTGAAAAGAAAGAAAGAGGAGGAAACAGTTCAAAACACTTTTAAAATGGCTTAATATAGCCGATTATCAACCTAGATAATTTGTCAATCCATCACTAGAACATAGTTTTGTGTATGTATTTAAGTACAACAACTACACAGTTATATTTTACCAACTGCACTCGATACCAGACTGCAAAGAAACAAACATGGGCCTCACCTGGGTTTTCGGGAGCGGTACGATCGTCCATCACTCGACCCAGTGCCGTTACGGATGTCATAACCATAAAAAGCAATTAGCTCTTCGCGTGATTTTGGCGCCTGCTCCTCTTCACGGAACTTGTCGTGATCCCAACGGCCCTCGTCCTTCCACAACTTCCTGTGCCTGCCTTTAGGCCTGATGACAGATGGACAAACAGAAAAAGGGGGAGGAAGAGAGACAGCAAAATGAAACTATGAACCACATGGTTTTGTGTCAGATTCAACACCTGAAACTTATCTTTAACTATTTAAAATTAAAATATGATTTTATAGTTGGAATGGCAGTTTTCCCTGAATGAAAAACCCTCATGTCTCTCACCTCTCCTCCTCTGTAGCCTGGCCTCTCACGTCGTGCTCAAAGAAAAGGCCTTTTCGGGGGATGTAGGCTGGATTCTTCCGGTCCTCATCATCGTCCAGCTTCTGGCCTTTGCTGCCCGATTTATTCTCAGGGTCCTCGGTGCTTTCCTGTAAACATGTAGAGGTCTCAACTTCAGTTTTGGCCTAAAAAAAGATTTACAATTAAAACACAACTGGCAGTGTGATTTAGCATTGTCTTAGTCCAGAATGTGGCATTGTGGCTAACTGCTTTAAACCCGTCAAAGGATTATTTTAATGTTTATTATGTTTAAATATCATTCCCGCCACACAAGCTGAACCTGGGCCCTGCCAGAGATTTAGAGTAGGAAAAGATGCCATGTTCTGTTCTTCCATACCTGTCCGTCCCCACTCTGGCGCTCCCCAGCTAGATTCCCCTTCTCATCATCTTTAACTTCCTTGTCCCCTCCATCTCTCTCCTCCTCTTCACCAAGCTCTTCTGTCGGGGCATCTGCAGCGGGCTTCGGTTCTGCGGCAGGACGTGAGGCCTCTTCATCACTGAAATGCTCTGCCGCCTCCTCCTCTTCCTCTCCTCCCTGAAACAAGAAGCATCAAACAACAACAAATTCTCAGATCAGAAAACATACAAACTAAAACTGATCACATCAAACGTCATTCTGATAAAGCACACGGACACAAATTTTAGAAACACAAAGGAACGCAGCTTGGCTGAAGCTCTAAAATTGTAGCACTATTTTACAGTGTCTTTGTTACATGTTACATGTACTTACTATAGTAACGACAGTAAATTACGCATAACTACAATCAACTAACACTAAATAGACATGGTAATTAATATTACTCAGTACTTATTTGTATAATTGCACTGTGACAAGCACACCAAAAAATAACCAAATACCATCACATTCGATAATAAAATAAACAAAAACAAGCTTTTTCCTGTCATCATAGAAAAATTAACATAAGTGACAAAAAGCACAAACTACTAAAACCAAAGTGAAAATAAAAACTGAAAGCCAATTCAAAACATTAATAAATGTTATGATAGTATATAAAAGTAAAATATGGCAATATGAGAAAGACGGGTGTCAACTGATTTCAGTACATTAAGAATAGTGGTGGACAGTATATTATTATTTTTTTTTTTCAAGAATTTAAATCAATTTAGCAAATCAGATCTTTTACAACTACGCATGGGTCGATTACCGGTTTCAAGGTTTACCACGATGTAAAAACACGTGTGTAACTTACGCGATTGGCAACCGGCCGTTTTTTGTCTTATTGCAACTCGTCTCTGTTCTGGACTTGCACAAACTGCAATGCAATCATTTTCCAAAATGTCATTTATGTGAAAATATGAAGTCTGTAAAGAGACGCTGAAGACGGACGCACAGAGAAAAATACTGTAGCAGGCAGATCACTCACTGTTCATGATGCACAAACTATTGGAAGAAAATCCTCAATATTGAGTTTATATGAATGCGAGAATGTCAGAAAAGTTTACGTGGTATTTTCTTTTAATCTCGTCTCTGTATAGTTCATATTAAAGCAGTGTTTCAGCACAGCGCTGCTTTGTTTACAGCGTTAACCAAGGAAAAGCTGTATCTGGTGTTCCATGAGCGCCTCTTGCTATCAGAGAGAGAATCTGCATCTCATTCAGAGCATCTGCCGTTTGCTTCGTTCAGATATGTAGTATAATTTCACAAAGCTAGTCAGAACATTGTTTTTGCTTCAAATTGGGTTATTAAATCAAATTATGTATATGAAATGATATAACTAAATGTATATGAATTTAACAAATTAAATAACTGTAATTACAGATTTAGGTTAAATAACGATGTCAGTCTTTATTTTTCTTCTTTTTAGGAAACAAATCAAAGTAAAAAAATAAACAAATTCTACTCTTCCTAATATTCTGTATGTTGCTCAAAAACAAAATATATTGTGTTCAGCGGGAAAAAATTTTTTTTTTACCCAGTCATTTAAAAGTATCACATTTTAGAGCTGTAACGACAATACCGTGATCCTGTGAATTTTTTGCTAAAGGTTATCATACCGTCAAAACCTCATACCGGCCCATGCCTATTACAAACAAAACATTCTTGGTCTCATTTGGTTATTTTCACTATTTACATATCATCATCAAGCCAAAATATACATGGCATTGCAAAACTAAAACATGTCCAACTTAAAATGGTAGGAAGCATTCATGTTAGGAAATTTCCTTTAGTGGAACATCACCAGCCAAGACAAGCCAGACTGAACCTGATGAGCTTAACTACAACAACCCCGCAACGAAAGACAAAAGCGATAAAAATACACGCTCACCTTCACCAACGCCATCTTCACTTTCCTAAACAGAAAGAGATCAGAATCAAATATCCAGCCAAACAAGCACACTTAAGAAACATAAAGCCTTGTTTAAGAATGAATGATCAGAGATAACAAATCAATAAAAGCAAACTTGAGAATGCATAACCACGGCGCATCCAGATTAAAACACTGAACTTCCTCTTCACGGTCAGCAGATCTTTCTCTTTCATTGCAGAACAGCGTTGTCAGTATGACAGATCAGATATCAAACACTTAGGAACCTCAAATGTCATCTGGTTAGCTTATCAAATGCAGACTCATCATTACACTCAAGAACTAATAACAATAAAGCATCAGTGTTTCTCAGCCCGGTTTCTGGAGGTCCACCTATTGATCCAGACATCCGGGGGGACGCTGACACACCCAATTCAGTTTAGACTGGCTCTTTAGGAAGCCTAACGTTACTGAGCTGATGAGTTGGGTGTAAGACAGAGGAGACATCCGAAATGTGCAGGACAGGGGAACCTCCAGGACCCTGATGGAGAGCTGCTGGGTTAGATGATGAAAGGCATGATATTTTAAGGTCAAACGAGGTCAACGCCACATTCATATAAATGCAGAACCACAATCACACCAAGAATTTAAAATAACATTGTAAAATAACTAAGCGCCTGTTCCACACTTGAACATTTATCTCAAGGGCTAACGTTAGAGACAAAAACCGCACCTCACATGACACGTCTAACCGTATATCACATCTTAACCCGTTTTTAAGTGACACCAACTCGGTGTTTAGCCTGTGTGAAACACTACCACGCGCACGCACACACTCAGATCGGCCCCGGTTATAAAAGTAGATTTACAGCCACACACTCACACACTCCGACTCATCGCCGATTTTGGCGCCGACGCGCTCCGCTGGCGATTCAACCGGCTCGGGGTCTCTTCCGCGAGGCTTCCGGCCGGCCGAGAGGGCTCTCCCGCTCTCGGAGCCCGAGGCGGACTCGTCCTCCTCCTCGCTGTCCTGAGAGGCGCGCCGTCTCCGTCGCCGCCGGTCCGCCATCTTAACTCTCAAGGAAGGGAGAGCGGATCTGCGCGAGGAATTATGGGGGCTGGTGCGTTCGTCATATCCTCTTGTTCTCCGCTGCGTCAAAGGTGGCGCGCGCGAGTGGGCAGCAGCTCAGAGACGTATGTGTTGTCAACTTAGTAATAATAATCATTTTACTTTATTTGTACAGCTTTTTATTATTTGGGGGAAATTTCACATACATAAGAAGAAATGGTCAGGATCCAAGCCAAATTTCATTCATTTTCTTCAAGAGGCTAAGGACTACTGCACCAGTTTGGAGAACATTGTTAATAAAAAAGCAAAGAAGACTTGTAATATTTTTCACGAATATAGAGTTTTTGATGAATGGATCAATGGTTTGTACACTCTGGCATGTTTTTGTAAAATATTGTATATTTTGTTCTGGTTAATAAACAAAAAAAAAAAAAAAAAAAAA